TATTTAAATATTATTTAAATATTATTTATTTGAAAAAGAAAAATTATATTAATTACAATTGAGGTAAAAGAAGAAAATTTATTCTATTTTATTTGTCACTCCCTACTGAATCGTAATTTACTTGAACTTCTCTCTGTCGAAGTGTAGTTAGATCCTATTTGCTTTCCGATTATATAGATCCTATTTGCTTCCGATTATATTCACACGGGGATAAAATTGTTCTACCAATTTGCGAAGGGGGAAAAAGGTTGAAACTTTCAAAGTGTCTTTTAAACCATCCGGAGCGCGATATATATGTATATATATTCAAGACGTGTATTATTCCAACGACAGTACGAACATATCACCGGCTCGATTTAGGTCCATTGTGTGATCGTACGTATATGTACATCAACCGCCATACAACCACCCTTGAGACATCGTTCGAGGGCCGACTATAAATACGGTCCTTCACTCAACACGTCGAGTAGTCGAGACACGTTCAAGTGCAGGCGACGGATCATCGTCGTCATTATCAACATCATCGTTAGCCTCGGCGCGCGACGCGCGTGTTAACATCGATCGACATCGACGTCCGGCGACGCGATGGCGTCGCGACGGAGGACGTCGAAGAAACTCCCGGTTCTTGTCTCTTTCGGCATATGTAATAAACGTAAATGCGGACAATAGAGATAGAGAGAAGTCGCAGAATCACGCGCGAGAGACAATCGCGGACAACACGTACGTTCGACGAGCTTCTCCGAGCAAAAAAAAAACAGAGAAGGGAGATCGCACAAGTAGGGAGCAAAGGGGGAGGAAACATGTGTATAATTATAGCTAATTATACTTCGTCGGAAATTTCTCGCGAGAATTTCCTAAAAAAAAAAAAAAACATCTCCGATGATAATCCGATCTCTACTTATCAACGAAAAAAAACAAACAAACAAACAAAGACGTCAATATGAAAAACGCGTGCGTTGCAATCGCATGTGCAACTGCATACAATCTCGCAATCTCTCGCGATGTATCCGTGAACAAACCTGAGCGTTTATATCTGCGTTCGCGTGTTACATTTGCGCGTGCAAATGATAATATACACATATATATGTCAATTGCGACTTGTCTTGTATGCACACCGTGTTATGTACCCACGTATATATATGTTACGGATTTGTATACGTTTGTGTGTGTGTGTGTGTGTGTGTATGTGTAGGTTGCTGTTCTTTTTATAACCCTAATTAGTAGCGTAATCGTTACAAAATTCTTACAACTATTCAACAAAAAGCAATCTTGTAACAACTCTTATCTACGTGTTGTTCGTCCTCGTTCACACACACACACACACACATACACAGACACACACACATACTCTCTCTCTCTCTCTTTATCTTCCTCTCTCTTTCTCTCTCTTACTTTCTCTCTCTCTTCCTCACTCTCACACACAATCTCTCGCGCTCTCTGACATCCTCGCGAAAAAGCTTTCACGCGCGCGCATTAAAACCAGTTCCTCTTTGATCGTCGCGCGGTAGTCCCGGATTGCGGAGCCATTGCGGAATTCTCATGGAAGGGCACCCGTCGCAGCTACCTATTATCGATTCGGCGCGTCGCTAAATCGAGGCGGTCCGCTAAAAAAGATCACACGGAGAGAATGACACTTCTGTCTCTTTCTCCGTCTCTTTTAAACAGATCTCCTTTAAAAGGTCTCACACACAACTAAGTATCTTTTCTAATATTCTTTTACCGAAAATTTTTATATTCAGTATAATAATTTCTTTCTAACAATCTCTTCAAATACAATTCAACGTACGTTTTTACTTACGAGGTTCGTTAATTTTACTTCGTGTAGGATTTAAAATATTCTAAAAATTCAGTGTACACATGTTTGTTTTCTTATATACAACTAAATTTTCCTCTCCGGTTTTCTTTTCTCCGTTTAACATTTCTCGAATTCGAGTATTTCGCTGAAAATTTACACGTTTCTCTCTTCATAATATTTCTCTTTCATTCCTCCACTTTTCTTCGAATTCAATATATTTTATACAGAATCTATTTACAATATCTTTCATATACGTATATATATATATATATAGATATATACATATCCGTATAGTTTACTGCATTGACACATATTTTACATAACGTATCCAATAAAGTCGATCTCAAAAGAGGACGCTATACAGTTGCTCTTTGCCATAGACCGTCTCGATTACGGACGACTTGCGAGAGAAGAAAATCGAATAAAGAGCGCACAAAGAGTGCGCTTTGTGCCGTTCAATCTTCCATGACAATCCTAAGATTGTTTTCAACAGGATGCGATATATCTTGCTTTTTGTTTGTGAAAAAAGAGAACAATAAACTATTTTATTTTTCGACAATCGTCTAAAACTGAAAAATTTTAACTTCAAATTTTGTTTTTTATCGTCGATAGTGAATCATCGGAGTCTTCTTCGATACGCGCTGTGCCCCGTATACAGAAACGAAAAGGAGCATCCGGTCGCCTGATCGTCGACGCTCGTCGCACAGATCGAGATTACCGCGCGCGATTTCTCGTAACACAGAGTTTCTCGGGATAACCAAAAGCGCGAAGTCGAGTAGTATAATTTTGTCTTATCATCGAGAAATTATTCGCGATCGAGCGGTCTCTACTGCGTAAAGTATTATAACTTAACACTAACAAGGCTTCGCCATACTACGTGCAACGCAAACACGATTCCGAACAATAGCCCATCGTGTAACGTCGAGAAAGACTCGCCTTCCTTTCGTCGGACAAAAGTTAAACCGTCAAAGATTTAATTTTTTACAGAAAAGACCCCGCAGAATTTTTACATTTTTCTATTTTTTTTTGTTTTTTGGTTTTTTTTTTTTGTTTACTCTTAGGAACAGAAATCCTAAGTTTTTTTTCCAGAATCTTAAGAAAAAAAAAGAAAACAATTCTGTGCTATTCGATCGAATGTACACCGTACGCGAGCGGCGAATAATACGCCGGGATTATATAATATCTCAAAAAACGGAAGGGATATTCCGCAGGGATATTCCGCGTCGCGAATGAAGTCGTCCGTCGTTGGCGAAACCAGAGATGGGATTTTTATATATATCAACGGATCGGCGAGGCCCCATCTTCGAAGAATAACCAATATCCGGGGTTACGTATAACCGTAGGCGCGAGCCTCGCCGAATAATCGCGCTCCCGGTTATACACATCCCCGTCGTCGTCGGTCGCGGCGTTATTTATGTGTGTATATAATCCGCGACAACGTGCGGATCGGCGCGCGCTTATTGCGAGAACTTTTACATGACGGCACACTTCTCCTTGAGTCTCGCCGTGTTGTTGCTCTGCACCGGCTGTAACGACACCGAGCGGTTCTTCTCGAGGGTGAGAAGATCCCGGAACAGGGCGTCCACGTTGTAGTTCGTCTTGGCCGAAGTCTCCAGAAAACCGCAACCCCAATTAGCCGCCTCGGCCGCGCCCTCGCTCATCGACACCTCGCGCACCGACGGCGCCTCGTCGCACTTGTTCCCGACCTGGGCGTGGATCACAAGCGAATGGAAGAAGAACCGCTCGGCATTAATGAATGAGTGAATCGATATCGGATTTTTATTTGAAAAAAAAAAAAAAAAAAAAAA